GTTGACTGCATTTCTTCTCCTTGAAGATAAGATATGGGCATTAAAATATTTTTATTTATTGATGTACAGTAATATCAGATAGCAGGTAAATTTTGTAATTTGTGCAGTGTTACATTATTATCACCTGCTACAAAGTTGTTAAGAATAACGTATATGTGAATAAAATTAAACACTAGTAAATACTCGTGTATTACAAGGGTATTTGTTAGAAAACAATTTTTAAATTTTAAAATTAATAAGAAAATTTATTTTAATTTTTATTTACTTTTTTACACTATATATATATAATTTTTATTTTTATTTAATTTTTTACATATATATATATATTAAATTTTAGAATGACACTTGTTACTTGTGCGACTTACAATGTTTATAACTTATATCATATAACTATTTGAAATATTAATATATTAATTGATGAAATTTTTTATTTTTCTAATTAATATTAAAAAATAATTTTATTATTGTTATAAAGATAAATATAATTTTTTTTTATATATATACGATATGGATGTTAAATCAAAACTCATCAAGATATGATTAATTTGATATATTATATATGTAAAACTTGTAAAAAATACTAAAGTTATTAACTTTTAAAATTCAATGGTTATAATAAGAATTGATATTAAAATGCAATTAGTACATTTAATATGACAATAAATAATCAACATATTTATGGATATCCGACCTAATTATTTTTAGATTGAAAGTAAATCAAAATATACTCAAGCCTAATAACGAAACACATAATTTTGTCACATAGGATCCCGAAGCATGCGAACCTGCCACTTAGGCTCACCATGTTCTGAATTAATATATAGGAAAAATATACACTCGCAGATTCTGGTGTTAAGTGGTCTGACAGTGAAGCGACCATATTTTCTTGATAAAAATATGAAAATATGCATAAAATATCATATTTTTATTTATGTTGTTTTTTAAATATGACATTTAGGTATGAAGTTATGTAAATTTATTGAAAAAGTATACGTACTTAATCAAAATTGACTCATAATCGTGGTCATCAAAAATAAATTGAGATATGATTCATGTTCTAATTTCTACTACAATTTATTTCATACCTAGAGGAGGAATAACCCATATGAATACTTCAAAATAATCAGCAAAATTGTTATTTGGCAGATCCAACGGTTAAAAAATCGTACTTTAATTACGTGCATATTATCAAATTGAAATGTCATATGTTATAAAGCAACACACAAATAAAAATACGATATTTTATTATATAAATATATATATATATGTATACATTATTGTTAGAAAAAATATAATGAATTCACTCGTCTAACCACAAAATATATATGCACTCCTTTGTACCATAAAGATGTAAAGAATTTGAGCATGGAAAAGAAAACTCACAGATTTTATTTTATGTTATTTAAATTAAAAAAATATTAAACTAGTGGCATATATAGGGTTATTAATTCTTCTGTTTGATTTATATAAGCCAAGCCCACAATGAAAATGATAGAATTAGATAAAGACAGGCACCATTTGCATTTGGTAATAAAAAATGAGAAATATATTTAAAAAAAAAAAACATACCACACGAATTTGATTATTCTATTTTATAACTTTATGCTTCTGTTGTGGAGCCAACCTCCTATAAATAACAGGTAAAAAATAACATTTTCGTTTAACAACTATTGAATAAGAAGAAATGATTAATTGCTAAATAAAACTTAACATTTTTGCGTTTGACAGTTTTATCTCAATTTTTGGGTAATTACAATATAATTTCGACCTCAATTTACTTATTGCAAGTCGAACCTATAACCGGTTGGATCTTCAAAAAAATGGTCGATTTGATGGCGGTTCGAACAAATCGGAGCTCATATTCACCGGTAACTTACATTGACGTGGAATTTTCGCCTTTGTGCGTGGATATACATTAAATACGTAGAAATTGTCAACTTGCTACGTGGATGGCATAAAAAACTATGTCAATGGAAGACTTGGACACAAAATCGATAAACAAATCCCTAAAATGAATCACTCTGCACTCAAATTTGCAATAAGTAAATTGAGGTCAATATTATATTGTAATTACCCAAAGACTAAGATAAAATTGCCAAACAGAAAAAAGTTATGATTTATTTAACAATTAACCCTAAGAAAAATGTTATAAAATTGAAAAAAGTAGATACTACAAAAAAATTGTACTACATTTTAAGTAATGTTAGTAAAGCTCTTATCAATTTGTATAACTATTTTGTTAAATAATGATTTTAAATAATGTTACAATACTTTGTAGTATATATTTTTCTCAAATTCAGATTAAAAAATATAATTACTTGTACTTTTTCAATATTGTTATATTTCTCATTAATTATTTGGTCATTGTATTTATTTTTTAAATTATATAATATAGTATTTTTAGTTACTATATTTAGAAGGTTGACTTTATTATGAAGTGGTGGTTCTGTATCAAAACTTCTGTTCTCTATGTTGTGAAATAAAATTAATTTTTATTACCAATTCAAGGACACAATTATAGGAGCCCCAGCTGCATTTTTCATTATCTGGACATTGAAAATGGAAATTTCACAATCTACATTAGTTATTAGACTAAAATTACTACCCTTATTTTTTATTTTTATTTTTTTGGCAAAGTTTTGGTACATTTAATCATGAAAATAATTAATTACATCGGGTAGCAATTTTCTGATGAAATTTTAATAAATAAATAAATAAATTTTTTGGATCAAAATTGCTATTCCCAAAGTTAATGGACTAAAATTACTATGTTCAGAAAGTTAATGGACTGTTATTGCAATTTTCCTTGCAAATTACATGAAGCAATAAAGTAAAAATATATTACACTTTGGGTCAGATCATTGTCAACTTAGAGGCCAATCATTTCAACTGCAATTTTATTTTAGTTTTTGAAGTGTTTGCATCAATTTAATTATAAAGATTAATCCATGCATGATATAGAATTATAGGTAGGGGTTGTAAACGAGCCGAGTCGAGCTCGAGTTTAGGGTATTGGAGCTCGAGCTCGAGCCCTTAACGAGCCCAACTGAGCTCGACTCGTTAGATAAACGAGCCTGGAAACGAGTTAGAGCTCGAGCCTTAACGAGCCGATCGAGTTTTAACGAGCCGAGCTACAAAAAAATTATATAACAATTATATTTTTGAGCCTTATCGAGCCGAGCTCTAAGGTATCGAACTCGAGCCGAGACGAGCCAAACTCATTTAATTTAACATCACTAATTATATATATATCAAAATGTGAAGTTGTGTCATGTCATTTTACAAAACTAGCCACAACAATGACCTAAACAACAATAAGTCACATTATATCTCACATGCATAATCACATCTCTATTATAATTTTATTATTGTTCCTATATGAATTATTCAAGTTTGTTGTTGAATTTAAACCATATATTTTACTAATTATAAGAATAAAACTATATTAAATGCCTCAATTTATATACATAATCAAGCTTTTATGAACAAAAATCAACTCGTTTTAGTAAAGAAAAAACTCAATAGTTTCATATATAGACTCGTTTACTAATGTGAAATTCTGAGTGAATCGAACTGTCCATGTACATCTCTAATATGACTGTATCAAGTAGAATAAATAACGAAACAATAAGTCATAATGGTGACAGTAAATCTTCGAAACAGTAAGTAAATAATGGCGACACTCATAAAGAAGAAAAAAATACTAAATTGGAATTTTAGTTAGTTTTTACCCGTAATTCTCTTTTACTGATATCTTCTAATCACCTTATCGAATAACACGATATTATGTATAGTAGTTACCTAATACTAGCCATTGAGAATTAGGTTTGTCGAGCTATGTCAAATGCAACATCAATCTCAATTCAAATAACAACAATAATATTAATCATAAGTCCTCATAATTAAGAGAAACTACACAATATATATATGTAAAATGATATATTTTTGCAAAATCCGCCATCAACTTTTACGTTGTCCAAACAATAATCATTTATTGATGGTGATTTGTGATGATAAATAAGTACAATAAAGGACATAATATACAGTAATACGTAATCTAAGTTGAGGCAGAAGTATTTAAAATTTAATGTCCTTTTCACAACTTTTGGATTATTTTAGTGGCAAATATATAACTTTTGATTTTATCAAGTATTTTTCATATGGGAAATTCCCTTATCTCCCTGTATATTAATCCAAAACGCGCTGAACATACGTGGCTGTTTCTGGTGTTACGGAATCCTATGTGGCAAAATTACATGCTTTGTTATTAGGCTTGGATAAATTTTAATTTAATTCCAAACCAAAAATAATTAGGTTCGGATTACCATAAATATGTTGATTATTTATGGTCACGTTACATGTATTAATTACATTTTAATATCATTCCTTATTATAACTATTGAATTGTGTATATATTTTAAAAGTTAATAACATTTGTATTTTTTATCAGTTTTACATACGTAATATATCAAATTAATCTTCTTTTGATGAGCTTCTATTTAACATCTATATTTTATGTATAAAAAAAATAATTTATATTTATCTTTATAACAACAATAAAATTATTTTTAATATTAATTAAAAAAATAAAATTATTTATCAACTAATATATTTATATTTAAAGTAGTTATATGATATAAGTTATAAAAACTAATATAATATAACACATGTAAGTCATAAGTAACACATATCATTCTAAAATATATAGTAATATATTTTTTTTTTTGTAAAAAAGTAAACTAAATTTAATATAGTTTTCTCATTAATTTTAAAATTAAAGAATAATTTTTTAACAAGCACTCGTGTAATACACGGGTATTGTACTAGTTGAAAAATAAACATCACCGAAAATGATATAAAATCTACACTGA